AAGAAATTAAAAGAATATCCTTTAATTAAGTGTTAACAATTTCTACTGTGGTGGGAGATTGAGTCCCGGCATAAACAGAGATGGCCTTGTTGGTGGTGGTGTACTGGTCTTGCATTTTTTTCTGAACATAGTAGTGGTTTACGTTTCAAATAGCGGATTTATAGTGGATTTATGTATAGTGAATTTACGTTTTTTCCGTTTGTTATTTTTTAGTTGTGTCAGTAGTGGATTACGTATGTTTTTAGTGGATTTCAATAAGTTTGTTGTGGATTATGTTAATGTAAAGTGGATTACGATATTTTACAGTGAATTTTATAGTAATTTTACAATGGTTTTCGATAAATTTGTAGCAGTTTCTGATGAGTATATAGTGGATTTTAATTTTGTAACTCGGGTGGAAAAAAAATTATGTGGATTTCACTAATTTAATTGTGGTTTTCGATGAACATGTAGTGAATTACACTAATTTAACTCTGAGTTACACTAATTTAATAGTGGGATTACATTAATATTAATGTGGATTATGCTTATTTTATAGTAATTTTTACTTTATTTTCATAGTGATTTTCGATAAATTTAGTGGTTTCGATTATTATGTAGTGGATTTTTTCTTATATAAAATATGAACGATTTAAAAAACTGAAAAAAAAAAAAAAAAAAAATACTATTAAAAAAATGGAAAAACACTAAAATTGCGTGCGTGAGATAGGGAGAGAATATGGGGGTGGGGTGAGATAGTAGAGAGAAATAAGGGATTTGGATATTTAATTTTGTTTTAATGATTTTCCATAATAATATAATATGGTAACTTTGACTAATAGTAAATAGGGGTATTTTAGATAATTTGAGTCAATTGAATTTATAACAATTATCAATTAAAAAAAATGGATTTATTAAGAAGTCAAAATTGAATGGAGAGGTTTTGTCAAATAACCCCTAAAATTAATTGTTTTATGTCATCATTATATTTCAGACATACAAGAATATATGGTATGTGTATATAAGTGTCAATCTTATATTATAAAAAAATAATTGAACGTATAGCTTCCCAGTACTTCTTGGCCCCTACAACGGTTTGTTCAGTACGTTTATACTATGCTACATCGGGTGAAATACACTGGGTAGATCTTTACTATTCATATACACATAAAAAAACACATACCTACATTGGTGTGTGTAGATCAACGGCAAAAAATCACCCAGTATAACCTCACCGAAATAACCTTGTTCAGTATTAGACCCGATAAATTTTACCTAATTCTTAACTCAAATTTGTCGTACAATTTATACAGATGAAAAAAAAATCTAGCAAGTAGACTACTTGCCAAGAAAAAAAAAAGAAGAAAAATTCAAATAGTGGAATTTATTGTGAGCACATTTAGTACATATAGTCTTGCAGAAAATTATTTGACTTTGAAATATTCAAATTTATGAATAGAAATGACAATGATAGTTTATCCGGTTGACCTAGTCATCTCTTGTCTCATTCTGTTTTTTTTTTCTCTTCTTTTTTCACAATAAATTTCTTTTTTTTTCGGAAGAATCTGCCGCCAATTATATAGGTGCATTGACACATGTATATTTATTTATTGAACACAATTAATATTTAGAGTATATGGATGGTTGGAAATTTGAAATTATGAGTGAACATTAGGGAGTTTTTTCTTAATTACGAATAGGTGGCCGGTGGGGGTGTTTTTCATTATTTAGCCTAAGTTGTGGGGGTTTTCATAATTTACTCTTATTTTGTTTTAGTAATTCAATATATATAACACAAGGAAAATACAAATAGAAAAAACATTTACCTTATATGACTAACCAATGGAATATCCTTTGATTTATTTTATAATTATTAGGCTAATAATTACAACAAAAACTGCAATTTCTCAACATGTAAAGATTAGAAAAGAGATTAAATAACAAGTTTATAAATAACACATGCTTAATTATGAACTAATCACAAGTTTAATTAACAAATAAATATATATTAGCCAACATGGAATTAAGTTACCTAATGTATATCCAACATATATACTTCAGAACCTTATAAAAATTGGTTGATTACAAATAAGCCCATCAATGGGTACTTATTCAAGAGATCCAGACAAAAATCTCCTTTACTAATAAATCCACATATGGTCCAAATTTTTGTAAAAGACTAAAATAACCCCTCATACTTTAATATGTTCCAATTTCATCCTTAACTTAATTTAACCTCAATTTTACCCCAAATTTCACAAAAAATTCAAATTTGACCCAAAACTTTTTTTTTTCAAGATTTTTTTTTTCAAAAATTTTTTTTTTCCGCCGGATTCCAGCGTTGACTTTTCAATTTTTTTTTTCTTCCGGATTTTTTCGTCGGTTTTCGGCGTTGACTTTTTTTTTTTTTCTTTCTTTCTGTAACTTTTTTTTTCGTTTAAACAACAATATTGCTGTGATTGACAGTAATATTAACTAAATTACAGTTTAACACAGTAATATTGCTATATTAATCTCTAACACAGTAATATTAACACAACAAAACTCATTATTATTGTGTAATACAGTAATATTACTATGTTGACCGTTCAACAAATGTAAACATAATAAAAAGTCAAAAGAATTAATATTACTGTGAGTGACAGTAATATTACTATAACAACAGTAATATTACCGTCAACCACAGTAATATTACAACAATAGACATTAATATTATTACGTTACTCCGTGAATAACTCAAACAAAAAAAAAATCCAAACAAAATAATAATATTGATGTGGTTGACAGCAATATTACTATAACAACAGTAATATTGCCGTCAACCACAGTAATATTATTTTGTTTACAGTAATATTACAATAATAGACAGTAATATTATTACGTTACTCTGTGAATAACTCAAACAAAACAAAAAACCTAAAAAAATAATAATATTGATGTTGTTGACAGTAATATAATTACATTGACTTGTCAACAAATCAAACAAAATAAAAAGAATAACAATAAATAAAAAAATAATAATATTACGTTAATTTACTGTCAACGGCAGAATAATTACATAAATGTATTGTCAACGGCAGTACAATTACGTTAATTAACTTTCATTGACAGTATAATTACGTTAATTTACTATCAGTGACAGCACAATTACGGTCAACGTTTAGCGGCGGACGTAAAAAAAAAAAAAAAAAAAAAAAAAACTTAAAAAAAACACTAAAAAAAATCAACGCCGGAAACTGGCGCAAAAATCCGAAAGAAAGAAAAAAAAAATTGAAAAGTCAACGCCGGAGACCGGCGTTGACCGCCGGAATCTGGCGGCAATTTTTATTTTTTGAAAAAAAAAAAGTTTTTAGTCAAAATTGAATAATATGTGAAATTTGGAGTCAAATTGAGAATAAATTAAGTTAATGATGAAATTGGAGCATATTAAAGTATGCTCCAAAAAAAAGTCAAAATTTAATTGTTGTGGTCAAAATTGATTAAATTGGGTTTACAATTAAGAATTGAGTATAAATGGTTGAGGGTAATATTGGAATATACATGAATGTTTCCTTTATTTATAATAAATATTAAAGAAATGGACTTATTGGTGAAAGAGATATAGCCCATAAACCTAGAATAATAAAAATGCTTGGTTGGTGACCTATGCACAAACACCTCTATAAAAAATAGGTCGATTATTCTCATCAACGTTACTAGTATAATTTCTCTCTTCTCCCAAAAAAAAAAAGAAAAAAAAAAAACAACACTCTTGAAATCTTTTCATAATGCCGACCATGATTCGTTGCCGAAAGATATCGGCCTGCAGAACAATCGAAACTAAGTTCATCCCGACCCCTAACTCCGAAGAAGATGAATCGAATATCGAAATCAACTTCACTTTTTCTTTGACCGTGATATATTTCCGGTGGGCCGTACGCGAAGGAGAGGAGCCACGATTTTTGGGACGATCGATCGAACTCGGAAAAGAATACCACCTCCGCTTGAGTAGCCGCCAACTGTCGTGCGATTTCGAAGAAGCGCGGATACTCGCGGAGGAAGAACCCAAAGCGATGCCGATGAGTTCCGCACGCAGTAAGCAGATCGCGGGGTACGCTTTGGGCAAAGCATGCACGTGGATAGCGACGGAGGCCGCGGCCGATCGGACGGCCCACGGTGTTTTGAATCTTCACATCGAGGCCACATTGTATCATGTCCATCTCGATGGAATTGTTAGTAATTACGACGATTACTCTCCTCTTCGTATGGTTCCAACTGCCGATTCGTCGATCGCGGAGCTCAAAGAGGTGGGGCCCGCCGATTCTCGCCGGAGTATGCTTCTTGCGGATCGTTGCTCGGTTTGCTTGGAAGACTACTTTTCCGGCGGCGGCGGCGAAGAAGTGTTATTATTATCGATGCCGTGTTCGCATGTATTTCACGGCGATTGTATCAAAAAGTGGTTGAGGACTAGTCATTATTGCCCGCTTTGTCGATTCGAGATGCCGACTAATTAATCAGAGTTAGATACATGATTTAATCCTATATATACAATTTTTAAAAAAAAAATTTTGTAATTTTTTAAAGTTTTTTACAATTTATTTTATTTTATGTATTTATTATATATAGAGATAATACAATAATAATTAAATAAAAATATTCAAAAGAAAAATCAAACGTAACCGGAGTTGGCGGATTTCATGTAAATTTCGTTCCGACTTGCACCCGAGAAAATAACTATTACCTTATATGACTATAATAACCAATGGAATATCCTTTGATTTTATTTTTTAATTTTTTTGTGAATAGGCTTATAATGAAAGTAAAGGGGTCATGTGCACAAAATTCAAACCATAGGGGTTAATTGCAAAGTGCTACATTTCACGGATGCAAAGTAGAACTAAGACATTTATAATTTAAAGAATTTTTAATTACATCAGCAGACAATAATTAAGTAATAATGTAATAAATTTATGGTAACTAGACAGACAAAAAATAAATAAAAAAGGAAAACTCTGAATTATCAATTAATTATGGTAACAAAGGACACCTAATTAATCTAAATTCTAAAACACGTTTACCTTGGCCACCAAGAGACTAATTAATATTTATATATATATATAATCAACAACGTTAAAAACTCCATCTTAAAAATCTCTCTTGAAACCCTAATCTCAGAAATATTTATTTAATTAATTATAATTCGACCATGGATAGCAGTAATTCGGAATACCATCCATCCTTCACCTGCAAATTGACGAAACACGAATTCATGGTCGAAAACCCCGTCGTCACCGGCGATATCGACTTCCACTTTTCTTTTCACGTGGAATTTTCGGATTGGATATTCCGGCAAGATTCGGAGATGCCGCAGTTTGTCCGACAACTCAGCCACCCTGTAATCAATCACGTTGTTCGCGTGAGGCGCGGGAATTTATTTTCAGAAAAGACGAAAAGATCCGTCGAGGAAGAGCTCAAGGACCGGTTCCGTGTCGAAGAAGTTGACCGTATTCGAGGGTTGGTCGATTATGCGTGGGGCGAGGCCAATAAAATCGTCATGTCGAATCTTTCGTGCTTCAGTCGTCTCAATCTCGAGATTGATGTTTTGTTGGAACACCGAGTTGTTTTTCTCGAGGAAGTTATTAGCAGTAGTGTTCGTTTGATTCCGGCGGCCGATTCGTCGATCGAGGGGCTGAAGACGGTGGACGTTGTTGAAGATCGTTCTCGCCGGAATATTCTTTTTACGGGATGTTGCTCGATTTGCTTGGAAGACTTCTCCGGCGGCGGCGATTGTGAAGAAGAGTTATTGTTGTTATCGATGCCGTGTTCGCATATTTTTCACGGCGATTGTATCAAGACGTGGCTGAGGACTAGCCACTATTGTCCGCTTTGTCGGTTCGAGATGCCGACGAGTTCGATATAGATCTAGAATGTTCGATATAGACCAAGAATGATGTATTAATTGACAATTTTTATAATTTTAATTTGAATTTGAATTTGAATTTGAATTTTGTGGTGTATTGGATTTGATTAAAATTATTGTATAAAATTTAATTTGTTTTATGTATATAATTTATTTTGGGCACTTCAAGTTTGCTCTCTTTGTTATAAAGAATAATAGAAAATAAGATATCAATTTGTACACAATTGTAATTTTCAAACTTATTACATAAATTTTGTTTTTTTAAATTAGACTTAATTTTACTGACTATATATGCTACGATGTTATAATAATTTTTTTTTTAAATTTGCCCTAATGAATATGCTACGATGATTATATAGTTATTTGTAATTATAGTCCTTTATATTATTTTTATTGTATAGTTATTATTATATAATATTTTTATTTTGTAAACAAAATTGAAAAGTTTATCCTAAAATGTAGGATAAGTTTTCAATCCAAATTAATTTCTTATCCATTTCAGGCTATTTGTTTTCTATTTTTGGGTAACAACACATAAATAATTCATCTTATCTGATTATCTGTCCTTTAAATATTAACTAGACAATCTTGTATTTCATTCTATAATCCAAGACTTTTTCTAAGAATTAATTTTGATATTTTGCGTTTTGAACACTCTCTCTCTCTCTCTCTCTCTCTCTCTCTCTCTCTCTCTCTCTCTCTCTCTCTCTCTCTTTCTATATATATATATATATATATATAATAGGGTCTATATTCTATGCTACATTCGATAAATTTCATTGAATTATATATATCTTTTGTAGCGTCACTTGTTTAGCATAGTAAAAGACCAATAAATACACACAATCAATACTCATTGAGACACACACACAAAACCCTAAGACACAATCATATATATTCAGACACCCACACACCCACACACACAAAAGATATTCACCCCTGAACACACACACACACACACTAAAAAAGAACCCTAGGAATTCGGCATCCAAATCCTTCCATTACACAAAAAATGGCTGGAAACTCAAAAAATCAAGGAGTAAGACAAAATTCCAAGACGACATGACTCTATTTCTTGATTTAATTCCTTCAAAATGAATTGGTTTTTTTTTTTTTTTTCTTGAATTCTGGTTTTTTTAGATGGGTTTTGCGTAATTGATTCTCTGATTTGCAGCAAAGTGATTTTGACAGAAACTTAACATCTGAGCACAACTCGGATTTCCTGCCGGTGGAAGATTCCCACGAAGTTCTATCGCCGGAGCCGATCTCATTTGCTCCTCCGGCAACTTTAATGCAATCTCAGGTACCACATTCTTTATTTAATTGAGTATTTAATTAGGATAAATCTTTTACATTTTTGTGTACATTCATAGATATGTTTCCATCTCTAGGGTTTCAGTTTGTGATTTTTTGTTTTTTACTTTTTCTAGTTATAAGGATCGGAAAAAAGGGAAAACATTCGAAGACAACATAAAAATCGTTCGTTGTTGTCTGAGATTGGTGTTGAATTCTGGTTCATTTCCGGCATAAGTACTAGAAATAAGTCTAGAGTCCCATTTTCGTCGTTCTAATAAAAAGAAACTACATAATTTCAAGTATGAACAAAAAACCCTAAAAGCATGTGTTTGAAATATTTTCCCGTTATAGCATGCGTTTGAAATCTAGTACGAAAACCTAATGAAAACTAAACGTGGCCTTCACGCAACGAATTTATCAAATTTTTAAAATAAAAATGTAGTTTAATTTCAATCGTAGCGCAGGCGATGTAGTAATTAATGACAAACATAAAGTCTTTCCTCTTATAAAAAATAGTAAGTAACTAACCTCATTTAAAGAAAATTAAATGCAACACACTTTTACCAACTAATTTTTTTTTTCTATGATGAATCATATGTAAGTTATTGGTCTCGATGACCCTCGTATAATAAGTAATTTTATATTTTATATATCCTAAAAAGGTATATAGGTTCGAAATATTTCGAAATGCAAACACGCAACTTTGAAATTAATATTTATTGATGTTGTCGTAAAAGGATTTTATATGAGGTTGTTATTGATTCGATGCGTGGAAATGTACATCGGTTGTGTATTCACTGATCATTTAGTCGATCGATCAATATGCTGGTTATTTATGTCTAGATGAAAATCTAAATAAAAATTAGATTACTACACCGTACCCCTTCGAAGTGTAACGAACCTAACTCGATCTATTGCATCTAAAAATAGGTGTCCTTTCTTCTAGTTTATTAGTGCTTTGTACATTTTTTTTTTGCTTTCTTCATTATCTTAATTTTTTTTGCCTCTCTTTATCGATATATTTTTTTCCCTCTCATTTATGTATATATGAACAACAATCATAATTTTATACGTACGCGTAATTATGTAAATAGTGAAGTTATATATTTCATGAGATATCGTAACAAAATTGTTATGCAATTTTCAAGGGATTGCTTTTCGAATTTTAGCTTTATTTACATAACCATTATCGTTGCTCGTGTAGGATCAAGCTGAATCGAGCACTAGATATTCGTCTCTCGAAAAGAAACGAAGAGAAAGGTGTGTAGTCGAGGGAGTTTGGAATGTCTCGTTTCGACTTTTCCAACATCAAGAAGACGGACATTACATTCTAGAAATGCAAAAGGTACGTGCATTGGATATTTGTAACTATTGTGTATATGTTAATTTCTTCATTGTTATCATCTTCTTTATTTTCATTAATCATCATCTTTAAAAAGTATTTTTTTCAAGATCGAATCATATTTTTTTCAAATAAACAATTATGGATTGGTTACTTTACACATGATTTATATTGAATAAAATAATCATAAAGAAACTATACTTTTTTCTATCAGGTCACAAATTTTGGAAAAATATTATCACTTTACTAAAAGAGAAAGTTAAAATAATTAATATTACATAAAAATGTGAGTAAAAGGTAATTCTATGTGCACATAAAATCCACAAAATAAACCCTATATATACATATATATATATATATATACTAAACATTCTTAACTTAGATTAGCTATTTTCTTAAACAACTTTTTATCTCACTACTTAGTTACATCCTAGAAAATTTGTTTTGTAATAGAATATACATGAAGAATATTCTTTTATAAGGTTAATAGCACATACAAGTTGAACAATATTATAGGAATTTCTATATAGGAAAATTATTATGTAAAATTAAGATTTTCTCGAACTACTTTTGAATGAACTCAAAAATCATTACCATATAAAAGACTATTGTTACTATTCCCACAATTATTGCGCTAAGACGACACATTAAATGTGCAACTCATGCCCAGATATGTAACAATACATATTTACGCCTCTACTGATCATTTTTTTTTTATAAGTTGCTTTTAATGATCATATACCTAGGAAATATATAAACACAACTATGTAGACTGCATATATTTTAAAGGCTAGTTTTGATTGACTTTCCTTACAAATGTGATATAGAATGAAACAAGTGAAACGAATATGTATCACTTATTTCCTTCACGACAAGAAGAAAGGTCGGCGTTAGGAGTGAAAAGGATTTCAATCCAACAACACGGCGTATTGATTCCTCTTGACGAACTATCAAAT